TAAAAAATTAATCTAAAAAACCACGTTTTTCAAGTAAGACTAAAAAGCACAAAAAATTTAGTAGATTAAAAAATTAATATAAAAAACCACGTTTTGAAAAAGGAAAAAATAACCTTAAACATGGTGCGCATCTATTTCATTTGTATTTCACTTCTTCCCTACAAGCTCCATGCGCACCACGTTTAAGGTTATTTTCTCCTATTTCAAAACTTGGTTTTTTAGATTAATTTTTTAATCTACTATAATTATTATTATCATTTTCCCCAGACAATGGGGTGGGGGATGCCCTATCTTTTGCATTTTAAATAAGAGCATTCTGGCCTTTTTTCCTGCCACAAATTAAAAATATTTGGTTGCACCAAACTTCATTTTTTCTAAAGTTTTGGATTCAGAGTACACTTTCTTTTTGAAACTAGAAAAAACAATTAACGTGGACAGAGTTATGAACATAAATGCAAACACTGAATACATATAAATCAAACAGAAACTAGAACTCCAGTGGGAACCTGGATTTTTCATGAATGTTAATATGACATCTTTCCATTAATTATTTAAGAAGACCAAAACTAACTAAACTGAAATTTTTCAAATAGCAGAACAGGAAAATAAAAAAAAATTTGCAGACAAGTGAACCTGTGCCAAAGTATAACAGTTGATTAATATACATTTTTGAAAACTGAATTGAAAAATCAGGAGCAAAAATGTAACTGGAAATTATGTTCAAATTTTTGCATACACAAATATGTATCCACTAATTAAATTTGATTCATGAGCAGTATTTTTGAAATTTTGGAATGTGGCCTGTGCAGTGATGAAAGGCAGAAGTTTGGGGATTGAATGAAATAAAGGTGATAAAATTAAACTATGGCCTTAAATTATGTAACAATACAAGCTAATAAAAAAAACTCATTCTTGAAATTCACCTATTTTCATTTCTGAGTAAAGTTTTTCTGTGGAGACACCCAGATTTTCCCCAACTTTGCTCTGCACACTTTGTAATGATTTTTTGAATTGTCATTCTGCACAGCTCCCAAAAGTTTCACAAAAAAGCTGACTTTCCCTCAGGATGGTGAAAATAGTGATTGAAAATTTTTATATTTGCTACCAATCAAGATCTGCAGGTGATTAAATTCCTATATGCATTCACAATACAGTAGTCAAAACTCTCTGTGTCAAACTTCAAGGGATCAGCAAAAAATTCAAGTTAGAACAGTTTGGAGTGAGGGAACCAAGCATTTTTACCTGAGGAAAGGGGAAAAAAATGAACTATATGTTTATCAGGGACATGTTCCTTGAATATTGCTTCTCAAAATGAGTTAACAGTAAGCCAAACTTGAAGCCAAGGGGTAATTTGCTGAGAAGTCTTTTCACTTCTTTTAAGAGCATTGCAAGAAGCATTTCTATGGCTTTCCCTGTCTTGTGTCCCTAGAATATTACCCCAAAAGCCCACAGGAACTATGAGGTTTGCAGATTTGAATGGGAATGCCTAGAAGTTATAAGGTTTTCAATGTGTTTGTCCTGAGGGATTCAGAAAGGGACTAAACAAAAAATGATACATACAAGGATGAATTTGACTTATAGTGGTTTGAGTTATTACAGATCACCTGTATTTTTCTATATATAGAGTGTAATTGCAGGTCTAACATCTTTTGAATGCATACATCAATTTCAACTTCAAAGAGTGTTGTATATGTAGCAATGCTGGGGCCACTCAGTGAAATACTGTGTGACGTTAATGGGACTCTACATGAAATGCATTGCAAAATTAAGTTCCTCATGTCAAACAGCATTGCAATATTGTGGAAAATTATGAGCCCAAGTGTCATACAGTGAAATCCTGTGTGATGTTGTGTCCCTAACAATCTACAGTGAAATGCAGTTCAATGTTAGGGATGTAATGTCACATAGCAGTGAAATACTGTGGGACATTATCTGCCCAAATGTCATACAGTGAAATCCTGAGCAACATTTGGTCTGTAATCTAATACAGTGAAATACTGAGCAGAGGGCAGAGGGCCATTGCATCAAGCAGCAGTGAAATACTTGGTACATTATAAGCACTAGTGTCATACTCAAGCCTTCTCAAACCCACCTTATAGATTTTCTTATGAATTTGTTCTGAGGAGACAGTGCTGTATACAGGGAGTGATGGATGGGGAGGGGGGGGGGGCATGCTGGCTCACAGCTTTGCAGAGCATGTATTAGCTCTGGCAAGATGGGCATGCATGCATGATTATGGTGCAATACTAAACATGGTACCAGTTGTAAGCATCTGGCCCTCCACCCTGTTTTTGATGCATATCTGCTGTAATTATGGGAAATTTAAAAAATCGTGGTAAACTTCTAAACATGATGCCCAGGTGTGGCCAGTCAATATACCAGTGGCCCTCAAACATCACTTTTTGTGCTCATCATGAAGTTTTTCCAAATTTTTTTATGAAACTTTGTAAATGATGACCACATACTTGGCTGGAAACCTGCACTTAGACATGAGACCTGCTTTTGTCATTGCAAATTTTCAAAATCTTGGAAACATTATACCAATCATTGCCCAGGAGTGGCTGGGTACCCCCAGCTTGTGTACAATAAAACACTCACCAGTCATCATAGGGATTATGGCTCTAGCAGTTCCATCACCCACAATATTGTAGCCTTTCAACACCATCCCTCCAAGAGCTTCAATAAGGAAATCATACGTTTTTGGTAGTTTCCTGATGAAAGTATTCCGAGAAATGGAATCATAACCCCATATGAGAACATTGACGGGTAAACCATCAGGTGACAGTAACTGCCAACCAGTGGTGGAAACAACTTTTTCATTACGCCACCCACCAGCTATGACTGATCCCCATCTGAAAATGGTCACCATTATGACAAAAACTCAACAGAGAATAACGGTTCAATACCACACAACACTCACTTGTTCTCGTGTCTATCTGTACAACCAACTACAACGAAGTCCGAGAGGCGGAATTTATGTTCTTTGTCTGTTGAATAGACGGGGCCTTGACGGTTGAGATCTTCTGTTTCTCGCAAAACCTCTAAAAGCAAATGAATACATTAATTTTGAAGAATCCCACAGGACAAGCAGGATTGAATATCGGCAAGAGAACGCTGGAGGGAAGAAGAACAATTTCAAAATGTGCGAGTGAAATCCTCACGCAATTTTGCAATTTCTTCATCAATGACCCCTTACCTGAGAAAATGCATCGAATGTATCGTTCGCGGACTAGATTTTGGTCAACCACAACCTTGTCCCCACGCAGGTGGACCCAAGGGGGTTCGGATGGGCAATCTGGTTTCGGGCTCGGTGGGAAAAACTTCATGATCGCCTCGTCAAAAATATCCAACACTGGGTGTTTGCACGAAACGCCATCTCCTCCATCTCGTCGACGATCTTGCAAACGGGCCATCAGCAAATTATTGTTGATTTCCATCATAGTGACATTTCGATCCCTGGTAGTAAGTACACTCGAAAATGAGCGCATGTCTTGAAAGAGCTCAGATGAACAAACTTTGGAGCTATCCTAGTTGGGGGGACCCAGACAACTAGCTCCATCTACAATAAACAGTGCATACTCCCTTTCACGCGCTCCTAGCCCTTGTACACTGCAATTCTTCAACAGCCCTGCTGTGCTGCCGGTGAGGTACGCTATTGTCAGCCTTACCATTGGTCCGATTTCATTCTCTATGCAGGTACAAATCCAACTGTGCATTTGAATTAAGATGTGAATTGACACTGGCACTGTTTTTTCTGATTCTGCTGAGACTGAATTTGGGGGGCGGTTAGGTAAAGTTGGTTAGGTCAGGTTATGTCAACAAAAAATATTTCAGCCGTACATTTTAAAATGTGTTCATTGAAAATATTTTAGGTAACACACGCTGACTCAAGTTTTCTGCAAAAACTGACTTTGGGGGGCAGCTAGGTAAAGTTAGGTTAGGTCAGGCTATGTTAGTTAAAAATATTTCAACTATGGTTTTTATATGTTCATCGCAAATTATTTTAATTAACATTAATGCATATTTTAACAAACATAACCTGACCTAACCTAACTTTACCTAACTGCCCCCCAAATTCAGTCTCAGCAAAACCAATGAAACAGTGCAAGTGTCAATTCACATTGAAATTCACATAGAGTCAGTAATGAATTTTAATCCAGAATAAAATGGACTGATGGTAAGGCTGATGATAGCATACCACAGGATCAACAGAACAGGGTTGTTGATCAATTGGAGTGTGTCCACCAATAACGTTCAGTGTGCCATTCTTGGCAACATCTATATAGACATAGTTTTGCGCTTGGGTCCCCCCAACTAGGATAGCTCCCAAACTTCACCTGTAGAATGGAATGTTGTCCTCTATCTTAATTTTGTCCTTGATAGCAATGAAGTAGATGACAGTGAAGATCACAGTGGAGATTATGACGGAGACTAAGACACACGTCCGTGTCTTCAATTTCATCCTGAGCTCAATTAATTGCATTCAACACACTTTTTTTACACACATACATTAAATCCCGAACGGGGGCGCTATTGAGCTTTAGCAATGTCAGCTGTAAAGTGAGAGATCTTTATCACAAAAAGAACACAAAAACCAAAAGCACATCACTGCCAAACACTATCTCTCCCACAGATCACATAAAACAGTAAAGACACAACCCTAAGCCAAACTGGGGAAGTACATCAGACAAACCAAACAAGGGGAACCTAACGGACCCCAACCAGGAACAACATCTGCCGCAGAAATGCAAGAGAACCTAATTGGACCCATGGTCAACAGCACCAGCACTTAAGCACGTGAAAAGGGACAATGCTTCACTACTGAAACAACCTCCTGACCCTCCTCAGCTCAGTCTCCAACCATTCTACAAATGTGTGGAGTGCCACTCTTGTGACTGTTCCCAAATCTCCTACTTGTGCAAAGAAAATACACCCTTATCTACCAGTGTACCAAAAGCCCTATACCTGCCGTACATTCACTATACCAGCTGTACACTTACTCGGGGCTTGTCCTGCCAAAATATTACCAAAACCTAACCCATCCCCGACCAAACAAGAATGCCATGTGACACTGAGACCTCTTGCGCCACCGAATGCTTGGCTACCAAGCTGGCGCAAATCCAAACAGCATGTGCGGCATCCCTTGTGCCACCCACGGACCTCACGGGTCCCAACCAGGAGAACGCCTCTTCCAATGCATCATCAACAGTGCTGGGCAGGCCGCCGAGTATGCTCTCATCCACCTCCACACCGCATCCATGGGACTTCATCTCCCTCCAGACACTACAACACTTCACAGAGACTTATGTGGCCAAAAGGCCCCTAACAGGAGATAAACCAAGCTACATCACCTTGCTGGAAAATCTGCAGATATCACCAGTGACATTACTCATGTTCCAGATATCCAAGAACAATGACACAGGCCACGCCTCACTCCTGCCAGGGCCACGCATACCTCCACCGCCATCCCAATGCGTGCACAATCACTGGGCACCCAACCTGCCAAAACAGTGCATGGACAAAGACTTTGAGGACTATGACATCCGGCTCTGAGAATGACTCTGAATAAATGACTCTGAACTGGGCCGTAAAAAGAATATATATGACTCAGGTGAAACAAAGAAGATGAGAGAAAGGAAGAGATTAATTACTCTTCCTGACAAGGCGATTCTCGAGGCTAATATATTCAATAATTGTGAGTGGACTTCTTGCAGGAGCTCACATCTGAGCTGCCAAATTTACGCTGATCCCCCTTCCCCCTGCCTCACTCCCCATGCAGCTGCAGTCCCTCTCTTCTGTGCATGCTTGAGCAACTTCAGAAAGTGGAGCCTGGCTCTTTTGGGAAGAAACAATGTAGGATTCACACTGCACTCATTGCACTATTAAAACTTTTATTAAAATGAGTAAATTGCATAATGATGCAAAATATTATCAAACTTTCAAAACTATTTCATATGTGTTAAAACAGCCTAAGCATTAAAAATGCAACACTTTGGATTTCTAAGAAAGCTTGCATCACAAAAAATTGTCCAGTATAGAGTGAATAAATCATATATATTGCCTTGTTTGATTTTTTAACAATACAGTTCCAAAAAATAGTTTGGAATAATTCTCCTTCATGTGAATTCCAATTAACTGTATGTATATGAATTTGAGGTGGCTATAGTTGAGAATTTCATTGTGGTGCTGCTGATTAGTATTAATATGTTTTTTGAATGCTGCTTGCATTGCATGATGCATGTGAAGTGTCTTTAAATTATGAAATTTGTGCTCAGCACCAGGATGGGATAAATTTGTGAATTGAAAAAAATCATTGATTCTGATGCCCTGCACTAAAACTTTTTTAATGTTGAAGATTTTTTCTCTTTTACTCAATGGTAGTTTTTGAATGTGTAAAATGTGGTAAACTTATAAGAATGATTCATGTGCCTGTGGTGCAATGCTGAAATGAGTTCAGGCAGCAAATAGCACTGTATAGCAAGGGTGTAGTGATTGTGTGAATAACTTTTCAATAGATGCACTTGAGAAACATTTAGGCAAGAAAAAGGTAGACATCTTTTGAAATACCTGAGGTGCTTCAGACATGTTCAAGAAGCATCAGAGAGCAAGTGTAGAAAGCACATGGGGGAATTCAGAAATGCTTCCCATGAATATTGAATGGGCTTTCCACATCTTGAATGTATTCTACACATTTGTGATGCAAAGCATAAATGAAGATGCTTTTTTATCCAATATGCTTTGCATAAGTTTGGGAAGCAGCAGTGCAACTGCAGGACAAACTTGTTCAAAGCTATCTCACTCAAAAGCCAACAAGTAATCCTCCAATGGGAATCTCCCATGTTTAAAGCTTTGAACATTTGAAGCATATATTTTTGGTGCATCAAATTCAGACATTTCTGTATCACTAAACAAAAGTGAACTTTTTCCAAGAAATTTTTTGGAGACAGAAGAAGAATTCACATCACCATTCATAAAAATCCATTTTCAATATATGCAATTAACCCATAACCTGCCATGGGCCCCATTTGCAAATCATGTACTTTTTGCCCTGCCAAAAAAATACCACCTCTCTAAAAATTATGTAAAAATATGCCAAGGCTCCACAATGAAGTTATCTACAATTCAAGACCTTGCCAATTTTTAAATCCACAGCAACATGTTTTCTGAAGCCAACTCACAAATTCTGTTGGAAAGTTAAAATATGATTTTTGGAATTCAAGAAAAACACTTTCTAATGCAGCTAATTTAAAAATTGTTCATGTCCTTGAAGCCTGGTTATTTCTGAATTCAGAATGTTTAACAATTACTACATACCATTGCTTACTCCGGCTAGAACTTTGGACAAACACAAATGCTGACTTTTCGAGTAGATCTTCTTATCATCGGGAAAATACTGGATGATACACGTGAGCTCAGAGTCGTACATAATGAATGACTCTGAACTGGGTCCTAAAAAGAATATTATATGACTCAGGTGAAACGAAGAAGATGAGAGAAAGGAAGAGATTAATTACTCTTCCTGACGAGGCGATTCTCAAGGCTAATATAATCAATAATTGTGAGGGGACTTCTTGCCGGAGCTCACATATGAACTGCCAAATTTACGCTGCTCCCCCTTCCCCTGCCTCACTCCCCATGCACCTGCAGTCCCTCTCTTCTGTGCATGCTTGAGCAACTTCAGAAAGTGGAGCCTGGCTCTTTTGGAAAGAAACAATGTAGGATTCACACTGCACTCATTGCACTATTAAAACTTGTAATAAAATGAGTAAATTGCATAATGATGCAAAATATTATCAAACTTTCAAAATTATTTCATATGTGTTAAAACACCCTAAGCATTAAAAATGCAACACTTTGAATTTCTAAGAAAGCTTGCATCACAAAAAATTGTCCAGTATAGAGTGAATAAATCATATATATTGCCTTGTTTGATTTTTTAACAATACAGTTCCAAAAAATAGTTTGGAATAATTCTCCTTCATGTGAATTCCAATTAACTGTATGTATATGAATTTGAGGTGGCTATAGTTGAGAATTTCTTTGTGGTGCTGCTGATTTGTAGTAATATGTTTTTTGAATGCTGCTTGCATTGCATGATGCATGTGAAGTGTCTTTAAATTATGAAATTTGTGCTCAATACCAGGATGGGATAAATTTGTGAATTGAAAAAAATCATTGATTCTGATGCCCTGCACTAAAACTTTTTTAATGTTGAAGATTTTTTCTTTTTTACTTCATGGTAGTTTTTGAATGTGTAAAAAGTGGTAAACATATAAGAATAATTCATGTGCCTCTGGTGCAATGCTGAAATGAGTTCAGGCAGCAAATAGCACTGTATAGCAAGGGTGTGATTGTGTGAATAACTTTTCAATAGATGCACTTGAGAAACATTTAGGCAAGAAAAAGGTAGACATCTTTTGAAATACCTGAGGTGCTTCAGAAATGTTCAAGAAGCATCAGAGAGCAAGTGGAGAAATCACATGGGGGA